TAAAGAACAGAGTAATACCTTAGTATTATCTTCTGTTCTAAATTATAACTTTTTTGTCCCATTATAAAAAAAATCATTATCAGCCATCGATAACATATTTTAAAACCTGTTAACCAGTAGGAAGAACTCAACAAGATAGTCCTCTAATACCAAAGGATAGTAAAGTATAAGTAAAATTATATGGTGTTTCACTATAAAATGGTAGTGTGTGGTGGCAGAGATACTTACGGTGTTCTAAACCGCATAGAGCTCTGAGACGGATGGTCCTGAGCGATACTTGTTTGAAAAGTAGATCGCCCGTAGTGAGGTCATAATAGCTGAACAATGTCTTATAACTAATGTGACAGATAATGTCATAATTGGAGGAAAGTAAACCTAATTAATTATTTTTCAGATTCTGGTTCAACGTCGGCAAAGAAATATCTTCATCGAGATACAGATTCGAAATCAGATCTCAAATCAGGTATGAGTCAACTTTGTTAAGTGGCATTACCTCATTCCATTTGGTCAGCATGACTGGCATAACATTTTAATGAAGATCCGAATTAAATTATGTTTATAATCTTGCCATGTTTACTATATCAGTGTGTTCAAGAGTCAAAGCGGTAGTAGAATTTGACAAAGTCGTAATTTATGCAAATTATATGTATAAAATTGCTGGTGAAAGTGGGGTCTACACAAATATAGATGGGACATGCTTCATTCGTTGTATAATAACATGGCAGTCAATTTGAAAGAAGAATACAGCACGTTGACTATGATTCCTGTGAAATATATTTCCGAAAAATGAATTTGAACAAATGGTGAATCAAATTACACTAGATCATGTAACCTAACAAATCAACTCATAAAAGAAAATACCTAGAATTTATTCATTTTACTCCTGGGCAATATAAATTTATTGACTTTAAGATGTTGGGGGTTACCAGCATAATCGAGAAATAGCTGATTGTATTTTAGTGGATAGTCGCCAGTATTCCTATGACATTCCTGAAACAACTATATATTGTGAATGACAATGGTACTGTTTGTTGTTGTGATTTTAAAATCTGGGTTTAAAAATAGGCCATAAAATGTATTTTTTTTAACATTGTGTTCTTAGGAATTGTTTTGAAAACACACGAAAGAATGTTATTTCATGGTACAGGGGAACAATAGCTCCATGATTATACATAATAAACCAATGAATATTGTCATGCGATTTATGACCAACATTCTCAAAAATCCTGAATAGACTCTACTTTAACATAAATTGGAGTCAACCTCATAACTTCCCTTGCATGATCATTTCTATTGTGTAGCATGTGGTATTTACTACTGTTAGTATTGTATCTCGAGATAACTTACGTCATGTTTTGTTGTGTTTTGTAGAACCATCAACAGAAAAACATCTTTATGACAACACATCATCGAGCGAGTTGTAAACACTTGATGGTATCTTACTAAGTATACTCGACGCAATATAGAGACCTTTATATACTCAGATATTTATAAATGCAACAATTGTATGTTATATTATTGTCATGATGTTATACGCGTTTAAGGATGTAGTAGAGGTTTTTAGGAAGTAAAATTCACAGTAATTATTTCCATAGAACAATTGTTTTAAATCATATTTCTTGAAAAATAAAACATGAAAAGCATAACAGTCATAGCGATAAGCGATTTTGCATAACCTGTTTAATTTTTCTTTTAAATATCTATTTTTTGCATTTTCTGCTGAATATGTTTCTGCGTTCAGACAGTGAAATCTTTTAAACACGTAAATTTGACGAAACTCGGTTTATATATAATTTTTATATTTATAATGTTTATATACATCACATCAACAATCTCTGAAAAAAAATAATAACCATTGATGAATAACTGCTGAGTAGTACTTATTTTGTTGATCATTTTGATGTCAGGCCGAAAACAAAAATAGAGTAATTTGCAATAAATAGATTAAGTGGAGTTTGCAGTATTGATTTTGTAAACGGTCATAAAATATTCCGTGACCAATGTTCTGACGTTCGGTAAAATGTGCATTTAAAGATTTTCTATAATTATTTCACACTTGATTTGGTGATTTAATATTTTTTATAAAAACGTGAACATATGCAAATTTAATCATCATAACAATACGGTTTGTTAATTTTCAAGTTGACCACTATTTTAAGTATGTTCCATTTAGGATAGAACTCTGAAGTGTTGATAGAATAATTTGACATACTTAAAGATTGTGGGAAGTATAACAAGTTTATATTGATTAATATAAACCAAACGAAATCTACTACATCCTTAATGCCCAATATTGGTTCCCAAAACTTGCATCTGTAACAATATTTTTCATGTTACGTCGTAACATTATGAGGTTATTACAAGAATACCTCAAAGTATGCACGAAGACAGTACAGCTGGAGTATCGACCGACGCGCAGCGGAGGTCGATGCATGGAATACTGTCTGAGTGCATACTTTAATGTATTCTTTTAATAACCTTATTATTATAATACATCTTTTCCTTCCAAGGAAACATCATGAGAATACAGTCGTGTTTGTTGGCAGTCGTGTTTGTTTTTATTATTAGAGGACGCTTACGCGCGTAATCATTCCATATTTGGAATTCGCATTTCCTTGTATGATAGGATTAAAATACCCCGTAAAATACGGCACGCTGTAACTTATGACGTTAAGGTGACAGATGTATAATTAACGTGTTTATTGTTCGATGTTGGTGCCTAGAAGTCACATCTGTTACATTACTATCTTACTGTCATTATAATATATTTCATGTTCCATATTGATTTGTAACGAGCAACTGTGTATTCTCGATTCACTCAATTTTATCCGATATTGCTAGTGTTAGTTTAGTCACAATAAAATACCAATAAAAATAGAATTATGTATAATAGTTGCTCAATATGTATCCGACTATTTTATATACTATTGTATAGTATGCTAGTTTTTTCAGTAAATCAAATGTATACAATAGTTAACAATAAATATACTATTTCTCATTGGTTTATATTTATATATATTATAGGTAACAATATTATATCTAATAAAGTTAGATTAAGTAATACCGTCGTGAAAAGACGTCCAGGACCCCTTCCCCTCCGCGAAGGGAAAACAGTGCGTTTTCTGCTACAAAAATATCGACACGAGTAAAGAAACTTGGAGAACAAATCAAACCCAGTGCAAGAAAATCGATTATTCAAAACATTATGAGTTGAACGTATATTAATTTGATAAATACACTGAGTAGCTTCAGTTCGTGCACGTCACGGAGTGTTTCTGTTGTAGTCTGAAACAAAATTATCTCGCTGTGATCAGTGAACAAGTTATTCAAGTCGAAACACATTTATATTTTTCTGAAACTTATATCCTCATAATGGAAGTCTTATCTCGGAGTAACACATGGTCGGATGTATCATGTTACTGGCATTATTACATATGTACTGCAGTTTATTTTGATTCGTCCCTGAAATCAAAATCGGTATTTCCACAACCCATATGCAAATGAGGTGTGAGAGCAAACAAAGTAGTCCCTTCATGAGTACCGTTTTTCGAAATAAACAATATGTAGAAGTACGATATTTTCCCCTTGGGGTACATGAATATACTTGCCGAGTGAAATGAAATTTGAACAACATTAATGGTACTTTTAAGCAGTCACTTATTTTGAGTCAAACTAATTTGCATATCACCCATGCAATAATGTTTTCGGTATTTTCACTGTCGATATGCAAATGAACATGGTATTTCCATTGGCTACCGAACTATTTTTATTTTGTAAACACATTTTCGTCTGCTATTTTTATCCGGTTCAAATCGTTCAGCAACATTTTTGGCATGTCAGGTGTACATCACATAAAATACTACGATTGGGAGAACTTAATGTATGTTGATCACCTGGAAATTAAGTTATATAAACCTTGAAGGGCTCTGGAAAGACCCACCCGCAGTAAAATCAGCGATTACTATAGAGCCGCAACCATTGAACCTCGAGATACCAGGAGGTTTCTGCTGGCGACGTTGCAGCGTTACTGAGTTCCAAATAAAGATTATTAGCGTCAAATGAGCAACATTTTAACCGGTAATCAAGACTCAGTCAATCCACGACCAGCAAGCAACATCACACACGAAGTTGTAGCGTTCAGCTCAGCGACAACCGCTGTCGACGAAAGTCATCCCGTCAGTGGAGTACATAATCGTCCAGTTCAAGTTCTGGCTCTGTCGTGGCTCCAACTAAACGTCCACGAGTAATTTATTCGGACAGTGATTCAGATTAGACCGGATTAGACGTATGATTATTTTATTTCCACACAGACAGTGACACGCGTTCTACACTGTCACGCGCTGCTAGGGCGTAACACTGTCTGGGAACATATTAATGGGCAATGGGGTTCCCGATCTAAATTCCATTCGAATTGTTGCACGTTCTTTCTTTAATATGAAATAATCAAATATGGAACATATGTAATAATAACACGAGATGCGGTGTCTTCTGCTGTACTTTCACTCGCTTCGCTCGTGAAAGTACGGCCGCAGGATACACCGCATCACTCGTGAAAATAACTTCCATACGCAACGAAAGCCACGGGGAGGGTGTGGGGTTCTGACATAGTACTTGGCATCACGCGGCACGTACATCGTCATCTGGAGAGTAACTTTGGAGATTACTAAAGCGTGAGTAAGCCAACAAGAGTCATCGTATTCTGATAAGAAGGACTGGAATATGAAAATTCATTCATCTTCACTTTACTCATTGGAACTCATGTTTTCACATAGATGTTCAAATAATAAATGTGTTCAGCCAACATGCTAATTCAATGAAAATTCAGATACACTGAAAAAGCAATTATTATTTGGTTTGTTAATTCCCCGGGTAAATTCATTCCCAGTAAGAACGCTCATTCTAGAACAGATCAACTGTGATGTTGCGAAAGTTTCACTCAGCCACCCCTACAAATGAATGCATCAGTCCACATCCGGGTTCACCTAAATGGGAAAAATATAGAGGAATTTGCTTACAAATGCATATGATTGGTCAGTTTGAAAACGACCCCATCACCTCCTACAACGCAACGCATGTCATATACACTTTCCTCATCAGCGACAGCGTGTTCTTGTGCAATCCTCTGTTATACCGTGAACTGTTTCAAGCTTGACCGTCATCATGGCCAAACTAGTGCTCTTTTTTGTCCTTGTCGCTCTTGTAGCCGTAGCCTTGTGTCAAAATGCCCAAGATGCCGATAATGCTCCAAGTACTGTTGCGATGGAAACTAAAATGTCGATGGCAGATGCTGATGGTAACAATACAGTAGCCGAGCAAAGTGCTGGCTCCGCTGAACCAGAACCAGTAAGTTTGCTTTACTTAAATTTACGTGACTTATATTCATGTACTTGTACTTGTACTTTCACATTTGTATTTAACTGTTATCAAAATCATGCTTACATCAAAGCAAACTCAGAATTAATTGTCAATGACTCGGAGTTCAGCCTTGTCTTGCGTCACACAATTTCAGATTTGAAATGCAACCCGAAACTGAAACAAAACAATTTGGTCAGAGGTTATCCTGTGTAATGATTCTCAGATTTGGTGACATCGGTATCGTATATTGTTTGATGACTGTGTATTATATATATGTTGTCTGTCAGTGAATAAACTACAAGTTGAGGTACTTGCGCGTTCATTGTAAATTTTCCCATGTATTACAGTTGCTGGCCAACTTCTGCTTTCTGTCTCTATTCACTTTCGTCATATATATGTACATATGAACGTTCAGCAGGAAAAAAACTCTAAACTACAGGATGCTGGTTTTCACGCTCAAAATATCCTCATCGCTTTTCTCACACTTATGACTGACCTTGGTGTCCTCAGGATGGGTGGTGTTTGAACTCGCAGTGATATTATTACCACATGCCACACAGATGATTGCTTAGAACCATATGTTAAAAACAGGGAAGTGTAGCATTCAGTTATAACGTCCAAAATAATATTTTTCGATCTAAAGGGTCCATATGAAACGCTGGTTGGGTGTCAATACTTTTTAGGTAACAGTCCTTCTGTGTAGTGATTCCATTCAGTTAAAGACATCGATGTAAATTAATATTTTAGCTCTGTGCTTTTGTGTAATTTGATATTAACAATGTGATTAGAATCCATTTCACTCTGTGCTATTACTATAATAATTGGCTGCAATGGAATTTTCAGCTAATTAATATTAGGGAATAATTCTTCACGGACAATTAATTAATCCAAGAATATTTGAGTCCTACGAGAAATTTCTGTAGAAGTGTATGTTTCGATGCCAATACAACACACATGTATTAGAAAGGTTGTTAAGGATCTGTTAGTAACAATAACATTTGTCATGATGCGAAATAGAAACTTTGGGAGAAGGAATTAAAAAAACTGCGCAAATTGGTCTCCATTTCAAATGTATTTTTCCTTAGTTGATGTTACTTTAAAACAATTTCTGTTGTATGTTTGTTCATAAACTGATTTTTTTTTCTGCCAAATTCTCTATATATTTTTCCTTCTGTCATTCTTATGGAATGCATCTCTTTCAGTTTACCATTACCCCCCCCCCCCCACACACACACACACACACACACCCCGTAATTCACGATTTACTTCAGCGTTTGAGAGATGACAAATAATTTGTTTCTGTCTGCAGGAAACAACTGTACAAGTGGACAGTTCAGCCAATGGTATCCAAGCAGCCAGTCTTGGGCTTCTGATGTTGTCAACGCTTCTCATCGTTATGGTATAAAACATCGTTCGAGAAAGCCAGTCTTCCGTTTTATGTATGCTTTCAGTCACGTGATACGCCTCTCCACCCCATTGAACCGCTTCTCGTATCTTGTCTTATCCATGAAGACAGATTTAAGTCATCGGAAATGAAATGAAAAATCAACTTTTATATTCTTAAGTTTTCTTCAGTTTGTGATATTGAAGTGCCTTTATTATTTTAACAAAGCAGTCAAGGGTTGCAGCCCCAGTAATAAGTTTACGAACTTTAACATATCATTACATTGGATATGTTGTTCCTTTTTATTTTTCGATTTACTGTGCTTGCCACAGTCTAAACATCCTGTCGGTGAGTAATAGTCACGACTGACTTGGTCATTGCAAACAAACAGCATCTAGGCTCAGACTCACACTTAAATCCCATGAAAATCCAAGCTACTATTGTTAAATTAATAAAGGTCACTGCGAGCATGCGGGGTCAATGTTGTCTAATTTTTTAACACTTACAATACTGTAATCACATTCCAACGAGTCCACATGATGCTTATGACTGCAGTTGCCATGGTGACCATCTATGATTAGCTGAATGGACAGCTGGAATGTTTTCTGCCTGAGTCACTCTAATTACCGCCTACTAGGAGGAGTCTTCAACTACGGAATACCTAGTATTCCTACAAAATTCCGTGTAATTGCTGGGATGTTGTATACGTAGTGTGCATTGCAAGTAAACCGAATTAGTGATTCGGTGTCACGTGATGTTGAAGATTTTTATGTTTTTGAATAAATTACATTTAAATTAAATTGTTTGTTGTGGTCTGATTGTATAATTTGCAATTTTCAATCCTTAGACCATTTATTTCTCACGTTGGTGTCCTTGACAACGCCCTGATGTCAGGAGGGTAGAAACAGCATGAGACGGTGTGATTAAAACCATATGTTTACTTATAATGAACTCCTGAGGAAATCATGAGATAGAGTGGAATATCTTAAACAATTTAAAGTTAGTGTTTTAGGGGTAACAACATTAAATCAATGAACTAACCTTCTAAGATAATTGATAATTTTGGAAATTATGACAGACTTGGTGTACTGTAAAAATGACTAATTTTCACTGGGTTTAAATTTCACTGATTTACCATTTCAGGCATATTCAGTGGGTTTTAAATTCATGGTTTCGTCATTTAGATAATGTGTTCTATGCTAAATTTTACATATTCACTGGGTTTTAATTTTCCAGTCAGCGAAATAAGCTAAATTCAAACCCAGTGAATAATTACCCCCTTTACAGTAATTTCAATTACAGAGCGCCCTCTACGAGCAACTGCACTCAAATTGCATTTGGGTACATGCTGTCAGGTTAATAAGGACATCCATTTACATACTTTAATTGAATATTCATGACTTATTTTTTACGGAGCGTTTTCAATGTTTTTCGTTTCGAGAGCACTGGTAAACTCGTATCGCGTGACACCATTTCCGTCGCTTTGGTGTTCATGAGGCACGCATTGACAATCAAGTTTTGTATTAATTTTGACCACACCGATCGATTGGTGGTAAAATTACAGATGCAATCTGAAATTCTAGAGCAATAAATCTTCAACTTGTTTTTTGGTACATAAAACTTCGGAATCAAATCTGAAGATGCATTATATATAAGCTGTTCTGATGCAGTTGTTTTACCTACATTTCGTAATTGACATCCCCCATATAAAGTACGTCTATCCCATAATGTAAACTGGTTTACATAATATATCGTGAAGTTTTAAAGAAGAAATGGATATCATAGTAAATATTTCCATGCTTTCTATTGTGGAACGGAAATATGTATATTACATACGCAAATGTTATAGGACCAGGGAGGTGTGGGGTCAATTCAAAGGCAGTGGTCGTCGCGCCGCGTCCTGTTCGATTTGGAACAACGTTTACAACTCATGTAAAATACATTGTTTGTTTACATGAAATTCGAACACGCGCTGCGCGATGACCACATCCTTTAAACTTCGCTGGAAATGGAAGAGAAATTTCCAAAGCACTATATGTATTTTGTATTCAGTGTTATGTAATAACTTTTGTCATTCATGAGTGTCCCTGTCTGCACATCAGTATTACATACATTGTACTACACGTATAATAACATTAAGATATTATAAGATGTTATAACAAAAACAATTATAATTATAATATTCTTTTTATCAATTTAGTGAATATATAGATATTTGTTTTGAACAATGCGATAAAGACTTTCCGTTTTCGACACTGTGAAATCCTTTCGTTTTTAGCAGAAAAAAACAGTACTGTAGAATACTTTATTTTCGCTTGGAATTTATTTTCGCTATTTTCGCTGAAGGGATGATTCCGTGAAAATAAAATCCAGCGAATATACTTTTTTTCCTATATTTTCACATTAAACTCATCCAAAATCAGTGAAAATAAATTCCAAGCAAACGCCCAAAAAGCCTTTTCAGCGAAAATTAATTCCAGCGAAAATAAAGTATTCCACAGTATTTTTACCAAGTAAAATCATATATATTTTTGTTCATACACGAGTTGTTAAACGCACTAGATAGTTTGTAATTACATTCAAATTCTTTCAGTCTTAATTCAAGACAAATAAAAGGTAAAAATATAGAGAATATAGCAAATTGTCTTTATTTTCTGTGATATTCTTGTGTAATCGGTAAATATGAAAATTATTTATGGGTGAATAGGGAATACATTTCGCTTGTCAAAATCAGTTTTTAGCTCTGCTGTCGACTTTGTCGAGCGGAGCTTATCATATGAGTGATTGTCCGTCATCGTCGTCCGTGTCAATGTTTTACTTTTTCGACTTCTTCTTGAAAACTACAAGCCTGAATGCTTTGATACTTGGTGTATATGTACCTTGGATAGACCTCTCTTAGATTTGTTTATTTCATGATGATATCTTCAATTCTCTAATTTTGGTGAATATTTTTGGTAAAAAGTGATATTTTCAACTTCTTGTTAAAAACCGCAAGTCCAATTGCTTTGATATTACATATATAAGTACTACATGTGGACCTCTCTCAGATTTGTTCATTTGTAATTTTATCTTCAATTCTCTAATTTTAGTGAATATTTTTGTCATTTTTGGTAAAAAGTGATATTTTCAACTTCTTGTTAAAAACCGCAAGTCCAATTGCTTTGATATTACATATATAGGTACTACATGTGAACCTCTCTCACATTTGTTCATTTTGTAATGATATCTTTAATTCTCTAATTTTCATGAATATTTTTGTCATTTTTGGTAAAAAATTATATTTTCGACTATTTGTTGAAAACCACAAGTTCAATTACTTTGATATTACATATATAGTTACTACATGTGGACCTCTCTCAGATTTGTTCATTTTGTAATGATATCTTTAATTTTCTAATTTTGGTGAATATTTTTGTAATTTTTGGTAAAAAGTGATATTTTTGACTTCTTGTTAAAAACCTCAAGTCCAATTGCTTTGATATTACATATATAGGTACACAGTCAGCTGGCGCACATGTGATAATAAAATAAATACAATATTTGCTA